TCGGGAAAAATTATGATCTCGAAAAAAGTGTCTCATGAAAAAATTTGCTGTTTTGGTACAGTTATTTTGTACTTCCTATCAAAATTTCGGATGATTCTCGAAAGTTTATAACTCGGTCAATATTATTTCCATTTATCTAACTTCCACGTAATTCATCATCCATCCAATAAAAACATGCATCACATACCGCTCAAAATAGCCGTTATTCCTATCATTTAGTTTTCATATCGGCGGCTTGCGAAATGACTGAAATTCATAACGCTGAGGTAATGGACTTCCTAAAATTTCAACATCTCCAAAATCAAATTTCAGTTAACTCAAGAAATAGTCATTGGACACGTTTTATTGAATAGACAATAGACAAAAATTAAATAATTTCGAGATACGGTATCGAAAGCGCACGAATTTGTTCGAAAATCTTTTGCTCATTTCAAGACCGACGATGAACCTATAGATAATTTTTTGCCGCAAGATATCGTAAATAACTTCAAAAAACTCCGGAAAATCTACTCTCCCCCTTCCTGTAAAAAACTTACTCTTGCTCTTGAGATGATACTATTGATGAAGTTAACATTGTTAGTGGCACTGGCTGGCCAGTTGGTTGGAGAAGTGACTTGAATCCAAACGGATCTGATGGTGATTCCAGCTTGAGTCAATCCTTGATAAACTTCATCCAATTGTTGGTATCCTTGCTTGCTGGATGCTGGTTGTGGAGTCATGTAGATTTCAGTTCCGAGTCCAGCGTAATAAGCATTTTGAATAGTGCTGCAAGCGTTGGTGTCGAAGGATCCTTGTCCAGCTGGGTTATAAGCACTGAAAATTGAATATAAAGAAAAATAACATTTATAAACATTTACCGAATGAAGGCAGCGGCATATCCGGCTTGTTTAATGCATTGGAGAGTGCTTTGGGAGGCTGGCACAGACAAATCAACAGCGAAAGCGTAGGATGCCAAATTGGCTGGAACTCTTGGAGCAGCCTCGGCAATAACTTGTCTGAATTTGACTGGAAGAGAAGAGTCAACGAATGGAAGAACTTTAACAGATGCTGGAACCGATTGGGCAGCAACTGCCAATACAGAAAGAACTACTAGTGATTTGAGAAGCATTCTGAAATTTCTCGGATTAGCTACAAAGAAAGAGAAGTCGAAATTAAGAAAAAAAAAAGAGAAGTGTGATTTATACATGCTCTTATCAGTAGAGCAACGGTTAGTACCGCCTGTCCATCTGAATTTATAATTTTGGAAAGGATTATTTTATCAGTTCTCAACTATTTACACAGTTTTTGCGTTTCGTTTATGTCCATGATGGGAGTACCGGGAACGTGGGTGTGATGATTTCATTTACAGTTCTGATTAAAGTTATGATCTTCTGGAAGATTCTAAAAAATGTAGAAAAAATATGTTTTTTTTTCTGAAATTCTATTTGGAGTTAAACGGGACTCGAAAAAAAACAAGCTGTATTAAAATGTACTAAACGAAAAATGATGTAATTTCAACCTAGCCTGCCTACTTCTTTTATACATGAGTCCCATTTCCAGCTGATCAAATACTGTTTTCTGTGTCCCCCACATATATATCGTCTAAAATCCATTATACAATATTTTACCGTTCACAATGAGCTGTTCAAACTGAAACCGTTTTGAGGAGGAATACGTTTTGGGTCAATACGAAAAAAAAATCACGATCGAAAACCACCTAGCCCAGTTCAGAAGCACAAAATTGACAGTCTGCAAGAAAAATGATGTCAGTTTCAGAGTAAAGCAAAGAATAAAGAAGAATTCGTCATATTTGAACAGCAGAGGAAAAAAAGGAATTTCTGTTTTTTGAGATTCGATCCGGAAAATGACGTTTGGAGTTTGCAACTGGCTTACTATAGATTCTTATATCTACTTGGAGCAATCTGGTGCACTGATCCGTTTTATCATGACCACGTTTTGATAGAAAAATGGCATAAGTTTACTGAAAATATAGCTAGATGGCCTAAAAATGCTTGAAAGCTAGGCCATAACTCAATATGGCCTAGAAAACTCAATTTTCATTCGGTTTCGTTGCCTATCTCTCTCCAGATGACTATTCTAGGTCAACTAGCTTCATGGCCTAACTTTCTCCGGGTGAAATTTCGACTTTATGACTATCCAGAAAATACATTTGGTAAAAGCTAGTCCACACAAGCTAGATAGCCTGAAATAATGATTGAATTTTCAGATTTTCCGAGAAAAAAACTTTTTTCAATTTTCTGACTGAACCGTCTGAATTCTTCTGGATTTCAAATGACCCAGAATTAAATTTTTCAAAAATCAGTTCATCTTATATTCACAATATGCTTCACTCCATTCAGAGCTACAGTATCCCGGAAGACTGGTGAAAATAAAATCAAGAATTCAAATCCATTCATGATATTCTCTCCTTGTTTGCTTGCTCTTTTTCGTTCCCCCTTCTGAATACACACTGTCCCAATACACTTTTTATTACAATAAATTATACAATAAAAAACCGGATGACGTCATGTTAAAAACTACGGTTTTGGAGGTGGACCGAAAAATTGTTTGAAGTCGAAAGTCTCCGGTTGATACCCAACTTTCGGCAGTTTTCTTTCTGCAATCCGATGCCACGCGGAAGCAGAAGCATGGTGGAAGAACTGAAAATTTTATTTATGTTACAGAATTCTTTTGGCTGGAAAAAATAAAAAACTTACGCTCAATTCAACAAGAACGCTCTGAATTTCACCCAAATGATCATTTTTCACCTTCAAATACTTTTCTTTCACAAACTCTGAGATTGACTTGACATATTCAGCTCGAACAGTTTGAGAGTCTGGTTTTTGAAGTTTTACGACTTTCCCCAGCTCTTTCTTCATCTCAACGTACTGAAAAAGGAGGTTCAACTGAAAATTCATGTTTTTCAAAATTACCCTCGGCCAATGAACGTGCAGGAATTTTTTCAATTTCTTCATATGACCTGGCGCCTGTTCCTGAAGGTTCCTCTCAGCAGCTGCTAGAATTTTAGAGTTCTTTGCGATTGCTTGGTTCATAGCTGGTTGCAAAAAAGTATCCGACTTCCAGAAGTTCTCCGTCTGTACCACTTCTCTATTCAACTTCTCAGCCGCTGCTTGTCCCTTTTCACTTTTACAATTATCCATGTCATTAGTGCCATTTCCACGTCTGATCATTGTGAGAAGAATAGTGTGGATTTGAAACATGGCCACTTTGTATTCTTCCATTGTCTTTACCGTTTGAGCCAGTTCTCCTTCCAGCTGGAGACACGCTACATCCGTTTCGTCTTTTCTGGAAAATTTAAAAATTAGAAAAGTTTAAAATAATAATTTAAACATCAATGATTTCAGAAAACTTACGGTTTCTGAATATTAAACTGTTGTTTTGTTAGTTGTTCCTGAATACTCATTTTCGATCCACCGTTATCCATTTTCACAGAAACAGGCTTCATCACCTTCATTCGTGCACTTCTAGCATCTCTTCTAGCTGACTTGTTTATATTTCCCTTCTTCTCCATTCGAGATACATCGGATTGTTGTTTGGCTGGAGACTTCTCTTCCTTTTCGCGACACATGGCCTTTGGTTTGGGGCCAGCAGGGGTCGCCAACTCCGGCTCCGATGCTTTCTTCTCCGGTCCATTCTCGTCGGGACTTGACATAGCTGAATAGGGAAATTTAAAGTTGAAGCAGTGAGGATATCAACACCTTTTATTTTGATTTGATACCTGAAACTGAAAACGTGTCACACATGGGCCATGTGTGACATGGATAACTCGACAAGAAATGGATATGAAATAGAACAGCGCGTTCATAAATAATGCGTCAGGGACTGCAAATAAAATTATGTTGAGGAGGCGGGAGAAAGTATCAGATGTCAGATTATTGAGCGGTTCCAAAAAGGGAAAGGTTCTATACTAGGTGGTCTTCTGTTTGAACTATTTATATTTTGTGCTTTTGTAATTGCATTCAATTTCTGAACTTCCGATTTTTGAATCCTGATCCTCAAAATTCGAAAAATGCAAAATTCGAAAAATTTCCATTTCCCAAAGTTTGAGCACTCAGGAATTCGGAAATTCGGAAGTTAGACTCGGAAGCTTAGAATTTTTTTTTGAAAATCAGAAAAACTTGGAGATTTGGATTTGAAACACTTTTATGATTAAAGAGCTCTCGAACGTCTGAATATTTACTTTCCGAATTTCTGGAATCCCTTATTTTTGGCTTTCCGAATTCTCGGCTTTTTGACCTTAATTTCCAAAATGTTAAATTTCGAAACGACCAAAATTTTGAGCTTCTTGAATTAGGAATTCCTGAAGCTCTGAATTTCTAAATTTCAATATTCCAAATTCATACCCTGAAAAAAGTCCCTAAAATGTGACGAAACCTCTTTATAAAATCATAGGTATTGTAAGCGGAGACCAGGAGGTTTAGTCCCGGAGGGGCGTAAACCGGCTGGTGCAATTTCATTCTTTTCCAGATATATGTCACATTCTAACTTTGAATTATCTTTTTTGCTTTTTGTTTCATCTCCGACATATAATACTTTTTGTAAAAACAGGGATATCAATCGACAAATTACATACATTTTATTCTGATCCTGTGAAAAACGAACTTTTGATACTTCGATCACTTTTTTGTAACCGAACGTCTTTTTCTTTTCCCACTTGAAACCATTTCTATTTTTGTCTCCACTTAAATTCAGTAGACCTTGACAGAAATGTTCTTTATTCTGAATCTCACTGTTTCAGAAATGCTAACAAACAAACCAGGCTTCAAAAATCTCCGAGCAATCGGGTACCAAACAGATGCTCCATATGTGTCATTATCCGATTATTGTTGGTCGTTCTCTTGTCCAAAACCAGGAGCTGAAGTCGAATTTCTGGATCTCACTTTTCAAGTTATGAACTCCACGGGAACTATCATTCAGATTGATGCAGACATCGAACAATCCATTGAAATGGTAAAATATGTGTAAGCTGCAATATGTAGAATGGTCCCTATCTATTAACTTTGAGCCAACTTTTCTCGATTCCTGTAAAGATATAAAAAGTTGTCAACTGAAAAATTGTTCTTCATAGTGTCGGAAGTGTTTTTACAGTTGACACTATTTTGATATCAAAGAAAGTGTGGGGGTCCTTCTATTACAGGTTTTATGGCATTTTTTGTTTATTTTGTGATTCAGAATTCATTTCAGGTGGCTAATGGTTCAGCTGATATCACTCTAGTAACAGCGCGACAAACTTTGGAGCGAATGAAAAAGGTTACACCTTGTGCTAACCCATTTGGACAAAAAAAAACTGTTCAGGTTGATTTCACGACACCGATTGGTTTTGTCTACTACGGATATTTAGTGAGAGAAATTCCAGAAATTGCAGTTGCTGATTATATAATGGGACTGTTTGACCTAGATGTGTGTAGTTAACTATGCTTTCATAGTTATGTTTTTTTAATTTTAGACTCTTGCAATACTGATAAGCTTTGGAATCATTATTGGATCATTGGTTTATTTGTACACTTGGCTTTTTGATAGAAGAATACGAACCATTTGGGATTGGATGATAATTAGTTGTTCTGGTAACAAATTAATAATCTGAAATTGATATTTTAATGATAAAAATTTACAGCTATCATCCGTCAATTCATGTTTAGAATCTCATCGCCAATATGTGCACTTGTGGTAATTGGATTCTGGTTGTGGTGTTGTCAAGTTATTATAACCTACTACGAGGCGAAACTGAAGAGTTTTCTTCTCCTCTCTCATCACCGTGGTACAATTTTCAATACTTTGGATGGTGTTCTAGAAGCAGCAGAGCACAAGGGTTGGACCCTTGTCATTCAAAAGTGGGGATACACTCCATATCTATACTGTAATCCGGAGCAGTGTGAACGATTAGATCGACTAAAGTCAAAGTAAGTAAAAAGTGTTTCAATTTTAGATTCATTCTAATTTTCTTAACGTTTCAGAATAGTGTTTCTTGACATCGACGACGACATGAATCTAGTTATAACTCAAGATAAACATGTTGGCTTCTCTGCTGTGGCTAGTGATCTTGCTCAATCGGATATCACCTATTTCGATTATCATTCGAAAATCCTATTTGTTCGAGACAAAATAATGGCTCCAGAATATCTGGCATATGCTGTAAACAAGTTCGTTTGAATTCACATATTTCGGAAGAAACCAACTAACACTTCAGAAATATCAAAGGTCTCCGAGAAAGGTTCAATCGTGCCGTTGCGTATACCAAGAATGGATATGACACAGTTCGGTCCAGATACATTGCATCATTTGCTAACTACAATTCTGTGACTTCACAAACTCAAACTGTAAATTAAATGATTTTACCGCAAAACCTGTAATAGAAGGGCCCCTAACTTTCAACTTTGAGCCAATTTATCTCGGTTCCTGTCAGAGGTATAGAAAAGCTTTCAACTGATAAAATGTTTATCATATTACCAGAAGTGTTCTGTCAGTTGACACATTTTGATATCATGCATGGGAATTGAGATAATTAGGCTTAAACTTGACAGTGTAGGGGCCCTTCAATTACTGGTTTTACGGTATAATTTAATCTTGGGCGTTTTTAGGTCACCGTACTTCAAACAACTCATTTCATTCAGTTATACAAGTTCTGTCTTATAATTTATGCAGTCGCGGGAATCGTACTTCTACTAGGTAAGATGAAAATAAATGTACAATTCACTCATTGAAAAATTATTCTTCAGAAATCCTAATATATCGGATGACACGACACTTTGAGGTGTTCGGCCACACTTACAGCTACAGTTTATCTGGTTTCGAATGGAGATTCGCTCGTCCAAAATGGGTTCATTTTCCCAGAAGAAATACTGTAATTCTACCATTGTCCAAATCTTATAGCCCTGAAAGAAGACGTGTTACTGTGTGTTGACTGGTGTATTACAAACGAATCAAATTTTATGATATGTTTTCATTTTTGAAATAATACCGAAATATACCGAATACTGTTTGTCAATGTGTATAGTATGAGAAAGGCAAATTTCAAAGAAAGATAATACTAGAAAACAATTGGCAATGAATGAAACGTTCAAAATACAATAAATATTACTGGAGTTCGCAATTTGGGTTCGAAATTTGTACAGACATTTGGTTGGGACTCAATTTCCCTGGTTCGTTGTTTCGTTTACTGAAAAAAAGTTAAGTGTTTCTGAAATATTAGGCATGAAGCCCTACCAATTTAGCTTGACGCTCAACCCATCCATCGATGGCTGATCCGATCTTCTGCTCATCCTCGCTTTCCTCATCTCCTTCATTCTTCTGTTGCTTGCGAGCTTTGAGTGGCATGGCAACTGCGGCAGCTGGCCAGTTGGCGGTCATTCTAGCAACATCTGGCCAGTTGGCTGGAACTGGTGGCACGTAGTTGTAGAATGGAGTAGCTGGACGCCAGGCAGCTCCGTAGGTGGACCCTAAAAGAAGAAGACGTTGGTTAGGTTCATATTGCATCCGAGATGCGGAAGAATATGCATTGGGCAAATATTGACTGCCCCCGGAAGTCTCGATAAAAAAATCTGGTCGCCTATTTGTTGAAAAGCCGCCCGTGTGTTTCCCTATTCACACCTTTTCAAACGAAATGTTGCATGTAAGGTTACAACATTTTCTAAAGAGCAAAAAACTGGTTTGTCCATTTAGTGACTTACAGATTGGGCAACAGAAATATGGTCCAATATCTACAGAGTTGGTGGCATAGCAGTAAGACTGTGGTGGGCATTGTGGCCATGGTCTCTTTGGATCGCATTCAATTGGAAGGGATGGTCCTCCTGGGCACTGTCCGACTGGAGCAACTACTGGAGCAACGACGGCTGGCTGTTGGAAGAGTGGAGCAGCGACAACTGGAGCAGCAGCGACTGGAACTGGGGCGAATGCTGGACGGACCAAAGCTGGAGCAGCTGCTACTGGGACGGGAGCGAAGGCAGGACGGACAAGAGCTGGAGCAGCAGCTACTGGAAGAGCTGGAGCCGCGAGAAGCACTGGGTTACGAGGAACTTGAGCTGCTCCGGCCAATGGAGCAATGTATTGACGACGTTTGCTGCTTTTGCCTTCTTCTAGAAACGAGGGGATATGATTCAGAAGTTTAGAAATATGAATGGATTTTTTTGATGAACCTTTTTGGAATAATTTCAAATTTATCACATAGATCCTAATTTGATTAAAAAGTAGGTAATTCAAAATTGAAAGCTGATACTGGTAGAGAAAAAAGAGATTCAAGTAAATTGCCCAATATCGTAAGAATAGAAGTTTTAATGAAAATCTACAAAAGTTATGCTTACCAGTTGAAGGCGCAGCGAAAGTCAACGCAATCAGAATCGAAGTCGTTAATACTTTTCCAAACATTGCTTGATGATGGAAAAAAGCGAAAAGATTGATGGGTATTTGTTGCCATTCATCTCCATTTTATACTGCTCCGCACCGGGTTCCGTCCTTTTTTCTTTTCCGCAGCCCGCCTCCTCCTCCTGCCGCCTCCTTTTCTCTTTTTTCGTCGTGCCGTCGTGCGGAAAATCTTTCCGGGGCAAAAGAGGATGAAAAGTTACGTGTGAAGTGTCAAATTCAGGTTTTTTGACAGTTTTCATTCTCCTTCGGTAGAAGAACTCAGTGTCTAGGAATAATGAATGGAATGCGAGAGAAGAAGAGGAATGTCAAAGGTTGAAATGAGTCAGATGATGAATCTAGTTTGGATAACAATACGTACTTGAACTTTTTCTCCGAACACATTCAGATCCAATTACTGTATTTTATTGGGAATTTGACTCCTTTACCCGAGTTGAACATTAAAGAGAGACATTTTCGATTTATAGCAGAATACGATTTTTAAATTCTGACACATAAAAATCGGAGCTATGGAAGAGGAAAACCAGTGACCGTGCCTGAAGGTCCCAAAACGGCAACTACTGTAATCTAAAAATACCTTTATTTTCAGAATTCAGAATCAGAATGGAAACGGCCACCGGCATACTTGTCACGGGCGGGGCCGGGCCGGGCTTTTTTCCGAATTTCGAAAGCCCGGAAAAAAAATTCGAAAAATTTTTTTCGAGTTTTTTCGACCTTTGTAGATCAAACAGATGAACAATCCGAAAAAACCAAAAAAAAATGGAAAAAAAAATATATTGAGAGCTCAAAAGCTCAAAAATGCAGAATTTTTGATACCGGGCCTTCCGGGCCGGGCCCGGGCCTTGAAAATTTCCTCAGGCCCGGCCCGGCTCGGAATTTTACAAGTATGGCCACCGGCGTTTCTCTCCCACAGCTCCCCTTTTTTGTACCAGAAAAATAAATTTCGGAAAATTTTTGAATTTTGGGGTTCTCTGAAAGCTTTATGCAGGGATTCTCGCCAGTATACTGTAGTTTATTACTGATGGAGTCTTAGAAGGACTTCCGCTTTCGATAGTTAAAATTTTCTAACTCCTATTGTTTCTATTCAATGAACAAACTACAGAGTTCAAATTACTTCGAATTTTTAGAGATTTTTTTACAGATGAAATTTCAAGATTGCTCCTTCCCGTAGTTATTTTTCAATTCTCCATCATTTCCAGATCCACTCTTCCAGTCTCTTTTAACCAATTCCCACCTCATGCCCAAATCTCCCCCTCTCCTCTTCTCATGTCTACCCCAGCACACTCCTTTTCCTTCTTTTACTCCCCTACTCGTTCTCCTCCGTTTCTCTTTCGCTCTCTATGTGTCCTTGCAGTCTCCGTTCTTAGTGAACATCACAAAGAGAGGTTTCTATCGGTCCTATGGTGTAGTGGTTATCACGTCTGCTTTACACGCAGAAGATCGCCGGTTCGAACCCGGCTAGGACCTATGTTTTGTAATTTTTAATTGTAATTTTTTTTGAGATTTAAACTTGATTCTTGAAAATGTCAGGATCTGAATTACCAGGAAGGCGTCCAGAAGCATAATTTTTGTTTACTCTATTCAAACTTTTAATTTCAATGATTTCAGTATCTCTTTTCCAGTCTGTGTATGATGCACAGGTCTATGACGTGGCTTCCGCTTCCATTGTTCACACAAATTCCGAACCTTCTCTCTTCGATTTCAACATAATCATGCTCATCATAAACCTGTGGACATGTCTTGTGTTCTTTTGTGTTCTTCCTCAAATTTCCAACACTTTTTCCTTTCTTGTATGGCCGACTACTTACGGAGGAGCAGAGGGAGACGGCACTGACCAAACAATTCACGTGTGTGTGCACGGAGAAAAAACGAAGAAGATGAAGAAAAGTTGAAGGGAATGGTCATTCAGAACAATGGATTTGTCCTGTCGGGTGCGACATAAACGATGGCAGCAAAAAGGTCTCCGTGGCAGAGTAAGCCCGGGGGGAGAAGCAGAAAAAATGTCTGGAGGAATGTGAAAATGTGAACAAACTATGAACATTTGTGTGCGTATAGGGGGAGAACTTCAATGAATTGACTATGAGGTGCGAATATATAAATTCTGAAAGAATGAATAGAATCAAAAAATATTACAAAGATCTTGAAGATACCGTATTTCCTCTAATATAAACCCACCCAAACTGTCAACGTTAAGCCCACATATCTCGATTTCTAAGGAAGATATTAAAAAGTGGTCAACTAACAAAATATGTTAGATGTTATGAGGATTATTTTGTTAGTTAACCACTTTTTGCTATCTTTTACAAGAAATGAGATATACGGGCTCAAAGTTGACGGTCCGGGCTTTTAGAGCATTAGTGAATGTACTCAAGGTGTAATAGAGTTTGGTTGGAACTTTCATTTTTGAGATGCAAAACGCTATAAATTTATTTTGAGGTCTTTTCAAGTGTATTTTTGATTTTGCTATACTTGAAATCTCATTTTTCCACAATATTAAGGTACAGTACTCGCCAATGGTCAATAAGGCTTCAGCCGAGATCCTGAAAGTTGTCAAAATATCAACTTAAAAATACGTTTTGCCGAAAATCAGCTTGAAAATACGTTTTTGTATATCTTCTTGACCGGTACTGTATATGATTGTTCATAACTGAGCATCTTTTTATTTGCGTTCATATATAAATAATGGTGTTTTATCGTCTTTTTTTCCCACAAGCGAATCTTATATGATTTCCGGATGAGACCAAACTACAGCTCTTGTGCACAAATAAAAGTTCTCAGACGTGGAAAGTTGTAGTCTATGCCAGAGGTTAGCGAATCAAGGATCAAGATTAGGATCAGAAATTGAATATGTTCGAAAGAGTTAGAGAGCTAAATAAATATTCGAATAATGGAGAAAGCAAGATGTTGAGTTTTGAAGATAACTGAATGAAATCATAAGACACAATAATTCGTTGTTTCGATGATCGTTTCAAAAATTATTGTGCTCAACAGTTTTCCCTTTTTTTCAATCAGATACCTTGCTATTCGATAACTTGTTCCATCTTTTGCAGATACACTTATCAAACAAATATAAAATATATAAAACTGTACAGATCATTTCCGGTTTGCTCATTTTCCCATCCAATCCAATTAATCTGATATATCAATCAGTTTTTCTCCGACACATTGACTCTTCATAGGTGTCAAGTTGCTCACACTTTCCTCCTACCGAGAGCTCTCTTTTCGACGTGAAACCGGACCGGAAACAGAGAGCATGGGAATCCGTGATACGCAGAGAAAGTATTGGATACTACTGTTGACACAACCACAGTGAATTTGAAGGGGAAAATTGAAAAAAAATTAATTGATGGTGGGGAGTTTTTTATCTTGTCTGTTTGAAAAATCACACGATTTGGACAGAGTGTTTTGTAAAATCTGAATATTCACAATTTATGCAGAAACACAAGAGCAAAACTTATATGTGGAAAAACCTTGTGCGTTTCAATGTATTATAGAAAATCTATCTACAGGGTGGCCCATAATTACCCCGACTTAAGTTTGTACTAGCATAAAACTTGAGTAAAGCTTTGTACTGGGCTCAAATTTAGAGTAGGAAAAATCAAAAAATTCATCAGTAAGCTGGCAACGTTTCAATGTATTTGATCGACTTTGAGTTGAAATATCGCTTGTCAGAGTAGAAATATCGCTTGTCAGAGTAGTTCACGAAAATGACAACGGTGTGCAAGGAAAATATCAATTTTTGGACAATCATATCAATACCTAGACTTGAGGAATCGCTTTGAAAATTTCAGTAGATTTGAATCAAATGTAAAGTTTTATTTCTACCATTTCTTGTGCCTTCAAAAAAATATGTCCAAAGATACTTATACCCTTTTTTATTAGTCCGGGTGATTTTGCGCCACCATGTACATCGGTGCAGAGATTCAAGAAAAAACGCATATACATCAGCTTCCTATAACACATAAAACACAAGTTCATTGACATAAAACCCGTTGAAATAATACCGAAAGCTAAATTAAATTACAACTTCGATGGATCATCAGATTGGCTTCTGACAAGAGCTTCCTGTTGACAACTGGCAATCAGAACTCCATCTCTTCTCCAGATTCTTCCCTCAATCGTAGCTCTGGATCCAGATGCAATACGAGATTTACATTCGAACAGAAGCCAATCATCTGCTTTCACTTCTGCTTTATGGAACCATACACAGTGATCGAGAGAGAAAAGCATTGATGGAATGAATCCATTCGAGTAATGTGGACTGACGGCTGTCGAGACGAGAAGAGAATCACTGTTGTAAGCAATCAGCCATCTGAAAGTTAAACATGCCTGAACCGTTTACTATTTTAAAATCACCTGTGCAACCTCTCATTGTCACTTAAGTCTCCTCTGGCTCTCATCCAAAAGTGCAGTTCGGGTTTCTGGTCGCTAGCGAAACCGTAATAATTACCCAAATTAGTGCACCTCATTTCGAAAAGATCCTGATCATCTGAATACACTTTTGAATCGTACGATTGAAGTCTCCAAAGCATCGCAGGTGGCGGAGTGACTTCTCCTTTTTCCACTAGGGATTTCATATAAGGAACTGCATCTCTCATACTCATCAATACTTCTGGACATGGCACCTTTGGCATTTCGGATTGATGAATGATTGAACTTTTCTCTTCCACGTGGAATGAGCATTGGAGCACGAAACACACTTTTTCTTTTTGAATTGCTTCAACGGTTCGAGTGATGAATGACCGACCCTCACGGACACGACGGACGTTGTATGTTATAGGCTCTTTGGTGTCAACTGAAAGAATACCCAATTTCAATTTCATACCATCCATTAAAACTCAAAACATTAAAATTCAAAATTAGACTTACCATTCAAAATGAAATAAGAATGGGTGGAGTGTGGCTTAAATTTCTCTTCGACTGTCTTTTCAGCAGCAGCCAGAGCTTGAGAGAATATCAGACCACCGTAAGCAGCTGCATGATGAGCCTGGCGACCATTTGACAATGTTGCTGGACTGAATACGATAAATATAACTACAGTAAAACCTGTATTAGAAGGGCCCCTTCAACTTTAGAGCCCCCTCTAATAGAAGGGCACTCAGAGAGAGAGAGAGAGAGAGAGAGGGCCTGGAAAAATAGAAGGGCCCCCTTCAAAATGTGTTGTTTGGATCTAAAAATTATCTAACATATTCAGTAAAAAATATTCCAAAAATTTGTTGAAAAACTCTTTTTTGCTCAAAAACTTACTCAATCCTTATGAAATATATAGATTTTCATTAACTTTGAATAAAAAATTCACTAAATTTTTCAATTAAAAATTTCGGAAAAAATGGCTGCCAAAATAAAAAGTCCCTCTCTAATTGAAGGGCCCTGTAATAAAAGGGCCCGCCGGAGGTACCTCGGAGCAATAGAAGGATCGTTCTAATACAGATTTTAAGGTAAATAAAAAATACAGCACAATTCTTACCTGAAGGAATCTTTGCTCACTTCTGTGAAATCGAAGAATCTATCAGCAATCTTTTGATAGTTTTCCACTTTTTTGAATTCAGATTTCAAGGGAACCGCAGTCATGATTCTGAAAAAAAAACGGTTGGGAGAATACAAATGACGAAAAAGGTAGGGGAGATTCTTATCTATTTGTTGCCAATTGTAGTCTGTTTTATATTCTCTGTGTCTCGACAAAGAATAACCTACCCAGGCGTAGTATGGCATGATTTATTTAGTGGGCGATCTAATTGTTTTTTAGATTTCGATGAATACAATGTACTTTATGAATTTCATGAAAACTCACCCTCTTCTGGAAAATGTAGACGTAGCAATCGGGAGCAAATTTCTGATCAAAGACATCTTACTAGAAAAATGAATGGGTACTGACGATTGTTAGCTGATCTAAACTACACGTTTTACACTGTAGGTAAGTGCAAAAAACAAGGAAACAGAGACAGTTTATATACCAGAGATACGCAGACAAACGAAAGTGACGAAATGATGAGAAAATAAAAAGAACAGAAGGGGAGTTCTGGGTGAACAGAGGTCAGTGAACATTGATCTATGGGTATAATGTAGTCATGACTGTAGTCATTGTAGTACAAGGAAAATGAATCACCTAAAGTTACAGGGTGGCGCACAATTACCCGGCCAGATAAAAACGGGTATATCTTTTGACATAAGAATTTTGGAAGTACGATAATTGGTTGAAATATAATTTTACGTTTGATTTAAAGGGGCAAATCTAGGAAACTGGTCTGGGTACTCGAGTGATCTGAAACCGGAATTGAGTGTTTGGATGAAGACGAGAGAGTGTTTGGGAGATGAAGAAAGGCTTCACAGGTGTTCTAATCACTAATTATTTAGTCCGGAATGAAAATATTTTCAGATGGCTACTGGCATGCATGAGTGATGCTATTCTCATCCCTGCCGCAATGTCTGCCCATTTCTCGTGAGTTTCTGACTTCAATATTTTTCAATTTCATTCGAAATTAT